GGACTTGAAATGTCAACGAATTCTTCATTGTCTGCTGCATGTACGTCCATAGCAGAATCTTGTACACTGAGCATGTGCTGTGTTCATACAAATGCTAATTTTAATGGACAGTGTGGTTTGATCAAGTCCTTAGATCTTTCAGTATTCACACAGTTAAGCAAAAACTATCAAAAACTGAGTTGTCAATATCACCACATATGTCCCTAAATATCACAAGCAGAAGAAGTTGTTAAATATATATTGAAAAGTTGAATTACAAATCATTAATGTTCTCTGGTTGGCTTGGATTTTAATCACTGACCAGGCTGAATGGGAAGGGGATTTGTGGGCTATGGATTCACACTGTGTTCTAGAGGAGGAAGAGAATATATTCATTAATTATATTTGAAAGGAGTACAATGTAGGCAGAAATAAAAGGAGAACCAACAACTGTGTATGGTAGTGGCTGCAGGTTCTCTATTTAGGACAAGTAATTGCTTTTAGTGTGTTTATTTATGTGCAGCTTCCTGGCAGGCATTTCAGTCCCTGTGGACAGGAGTGCAGATGCTGATTTGACAGAATTTCTGGGAGGTGAGCATGAACCTCAGCCCATGTCACTCCCAGTGTAACCAATTCTAATTTTCTGCCATTGATTATTTAAACAAGAATGGGTTCCATGGAGTTTAGGTTATCAATGCTTACAGCACATATTATCCCATTTTTACTAAAAAAACTCTCTAAGAATTTATTAACAATCTTCTTACACTAGAACAGGACATGGTGGTTACATGCCTCGAATCACAGCACCTCAGAAAAACAGGCATAAATATCAGGAGATCAAGAACATCCAAAACTACAACAATAACTGCAACAAAAATGCACACAGTAGCTGTGCACTTCTGACTCTATGTGTCACTTGCTAAATTCCTGACAACTCTTTCAGACATGGATAAGCAGACATCCTTTAAAACTTCTCAGAAGACTTGAGTGACGTGGCACACACTTGTAATGCCAGGACTTGGAAGGTAGAGGTGGTAAATTCAGGAGTTAAAGGATAGGAGTCTCCTGATGGAGGAGGACACACAGGCACAGTCTGAGAGAATCTCCAGAGAATAACCTGGGACAGTCAGGTAACTGCTGTGAGAAGAGGTGAGCGATGACATGAAAGGTCTGGTTAATCAGCAAAGTGAAATAGGAAATTAAAAGGCAGAAATTGTGTGGTGGTTCCTCTTTCCCCATATTTAAACCTGAACATCATGTCAGGATGCTGAAGATGAAACTGGGGACTCAGAGTGACTAGTCACTGGACCTGTTTCCTCTTCCCACTGTGGCCACATTCAATAAACACCCTTTCTCTGCTTTTCACTGCATTTGCGTACTTAGTTGCCCTATTGTGGTGGTCAATCTCAGCTTATTTCAACTGTCAAAAAAACAGACTTTGGCCCTAAAATGTCTGAAGACAACATCATGTAGATTCCTTGACCAAGGTCCCATATCTTTGAGATGGTGAAAGAAACACCTCTGTTGACAGAAACAGGGGGCACCTGGAGAGAATGACTCCAGACTCCTCCTCAGTATCATACACAGTCTCATTCCCTGTAGATACAGGGAACAAAAGCAGACAAGTCTGGGATGCCCCCCTCCTCAGGATGGAGGACAGCAGGACAGACAGCCACAGACCACTAGAATGTCCTGGTTACAGTTTCCAGCTTCAGAAACAGCTGTGTGAGATAGGAAGTGATGACCAGACATCTCTAAAAATATCAGCAACTGAAAGAGGGAAACTTTACAGACCAGAAGGAGGAAAGACCCTGAGTTCCTAAAGGAGGATTCAGGTGTTTATAGAGGACCCCCCTCCTGGGAAAAGGAGATGCCACAGCTCTTTTGAAGTCAGCCCCAGTATATCTCCATAGTTTTAACAGGAACAATCATTTTAAGGGCACTGAATATATGGCCCAGTGATTAAAATCACTGGCCACCCTTCCAGGAAACCTGGGTTTAATTTACAGCACCCAACCATGCTCGCAAAACCATCTCACTCCATTCAAAGTTTATTCAGAGATCTTCTCTAACCTCCACAGCCACTGAGCACGAACATGGCACACAGAAATACATGCAGAAAAAAATCATACACAAAAACTAAGCCATTTGGTACTGGAGAGCAAGGTCAGAAATACCATAATAGAGGGAGCCTTATAGGTTTAAAGAGAAATCAGACACTAGGGAAATGTCTGGAGATCTACAAGGATGACACCAACTAACAATCTAAGCAACAGAGGAGAGGCTACCTTAAATGTCCTCCCCTGATAATGAGATTGATGACTAACTTATATGCCATCCTATAGCCTTCATCCAGCAGTGGTGGAAGTAGAAACAGACACCCCCAGGTAAACACTGAATTGAACTGGAATCCAATTGCAGAGAGGGAGGAGTGATGAACAAAAGGGTCAAGAACAGGCTGCTGAAACCCACAGAAACAGCTGACCTGAACAAGGGGGAGCTCTTGGTCTCCAGACTGATAGCTGGGAAATCAGCATGGGACTGATCCAGACCCCATGAACATGGGTGTCAGTAAGGAGGACTCAGAAATCTATGGGTCCTCTTGTAGTAGATCAGTACTTATCCCTAGCATAGGAATGGACTTTAGGAGCCCATTCCACATAAAGGGATACTCCCTGAGCCTAGACACACAGGGGTGAGCCTAGACCCTATCCCAAAGGGTATGACAGACTCTGAGGACTCCCTATGGAAGGCCCCACATTCCCTGGGGAGTAGAAAGGGTATGAGATAGGTAGGGTATTAGTTGGGGGGGGGCTATGGAGGAAGGGAGAGAGAGAGAGGGAACTGAGATTGACATGTAAAACAATCTTGTTTCTAATTTGAATAAAAAAATGGAGAACAAAAACAAGCCATTTGGTAGTGGCACACACCTTTAATCCTAGCTCTCAGGAGGCAGAGACAGCTGACCTCTGAATTGTAGGTCAGGTATGCAGGAAACCAGCCTCAGGAGAAAGGGCAGAAGAGTAGTATGGATGGAGAGAGTCCAGACAGGTCCTTGTCCACTTTAAGAAGATTTGATCTTCAAGATGATGCTTCTCTAAGATTCTCAATGGTAGTAACAGTGACCTGATGGGTTGAGTCATGGAAAAGATTAACCTCAATGACAGGAATCTCTAGAGCCCTGCTTCCCCGCCTCAGATCCAGCTCTAGATCCTGGTATCCTGGGAGCAGTGTCTGGGGACAAGTTGCTTACTGTGATCCTCATACTGGTCCTGTTCATAACATCCTTATGATCCTAGTCCAGATGCTGATATAGATGATAGAATCAAGGAAGGGAAGAAAATGACATCAAAATCAAACAAAGAATTGAGACCAAATGTAATTCTTATAGAACCAGGAATCTAAACATCTCTTGATGGAACATCAGACTAAAGCCTGAAGAGGCTGACTGCCAACAATACATTACAGCACAGACACTGAACAGACACTACAAATACCTGAGATCGTCTGACCACATGTCTTGTTGGAACATTTATTCAAAGAACAGGGATGTGGAGCTAACAAGATGACAGAGGTGGGATGGCACTATGTGAAAACCCAGGGTGAGCTGGACGTTGGTGGTCAAGCCTTTAATCCCAGCACTTGGGAGGCAGAGGCAGGTGGATCTCTGTGAGTTCGAGACCAGCCTGGTCTAGAAGAGTTAGTTCCAGGATAGCCTCCAAAACTACAGAGAAACCCTGTCTCAAAAATCCCCCAAAAAAAAGAAAAGAAAAAAAAAGAAAAGAAAGCCCAGGGTGGAAGGAGAAATAATTGTGCACACACAGGCTCCACTTGGAACCAGATAGCCATCAACTGTCACAAGACACCATCGAGTTAGCACAGTACACAGGATTCCATAGGTTTTCCCATCAAGTTTTACTCATCTTTAGTACACTAATCAAATACCTGAAAGAAGTTGAATAAGAATAAAAAGTGCTGAACTCTAAGAAAGATGCATTAAGTGGTCGTTCAGTGAAAACTAAACTATCAGGGATGGAAGTTTGCCCGCCCAGCCTCTGTTGGAACAGCAATGGTGACTGGGGAAGGAATGATGATCAGGGCGTGGATGGGACTTGTTGCTGCTCAGGGCTACACTCATCACCTGGTTACACCTTAGAAACAGGAGACAGACACATAGTAGCAGTCAGATGCAGGAAGGGAAGTTAACAGTTCTAGAGGCCACAGAGGGAAAAGAGAAAACAGAATAAATCCTGTCTCTTAGACTCAGTCCTGTTGTCCTATCCTGAAGAAGAAAAAAACAAGAAAGAAATTCAGATACTGTCTTAAATGCTGACATTCTGAACAGCCCATCACACACTTAAACTGTTCCAACCACAGAGTCCCCATGCCCCAGGGTTCTATCCTCTGACCTCTCCCTGTCACACACCAAACCCTTTAGAGTGTCACTTTTTAAAGCTGTAACACAAGGCTGGACATCCTAGAAACTTGACCTCCCAGTGGAAAGTGATACAAGAGCAGATCAAACATGCTGACCTTGGAACTAAATGAGGAGGTCTGGGCAGGCTGAGACCATCCATGGGCTCCTGACTATACTGCCACAGGTGTCTCAGGGATGAAATCCCACTGAAAGGAGGGGCAAGCCTGAACATGCCTGTCTCACATTTTACCCCTGGGAGTATCTACTTTCACTAGAGCTCATGGAAGCATCAGGATCTAAAAGGCCTAGAAGAATTTCCTAGGTTTATCTCAGGGAAGTTTCCAGAATTGTGACTGCTGATCCAGATAAGGATGAGGAAACATGATGAAAGATTGCACATGAAGAAGACTAACTGGACTCCCGGTTATCTTTTCTCAGTAGGAACCTTTCCATCTGACCTCTGGGAGCTGAGGATCAGGTCTCTGCCACCTCTATCATTGCAGTGATGAATCTGTTCATTATTTCCTTTATGCTTCACAATGGGGTTAATGTCAGCTCATCAGCACAAGACAGACTAAGCCACTGTGTGAATGAAACTTTGCTCTCATGAGGCAGGGCACATTTTCAGCTGGGCTTGATATTCCCATAGAGACACGAACTCAGGCCCTGCCCTTTTCTTACCTTTATTCCTCCACTTTCGTATCAGAAAAGTCACCACAGCTCCCATAAGCACAGCTCCAAGAATCAGGCCAATCACAATTGGCATGATGGGAACAGAGGGCTGAGGAGGCTCTGAGGGAAGAATGGAAGAAACAGTGAGGCCTCTGACCTCCACCTGTCAGTCATGACCCTGCAACAGTTCTCCCAAGGACTCCCAACTCACTGTGAGAGGCTCTGTGCTCACTCCCAGTCCTTACCCCATCTCAGGGTGAGGGGCTCAGGCAGCCCCTCATGATTCACATGGCATGTGTAGCTCTGCTCCTCCCCAGGAGGCACCACCACAGCTGCCCACTTCTGGAAGGTCCCATCCCCTGCAGGCCTGGTCTCTATCACCTCCATGTCCAGATTCTGGTTGCTCCCATCCTTCTGCCACTTCCAGGGGATCTAAGTAGGGTAGAAATCCAGGGCCCAGCACCTTAGAGTGATAGTCCCATCAGCTCTGACCTTATGGGTCACATGGAGTTTTGGAGTGTCTGAAGGGATTAAATTGCAAAACTCAGGTGTTTCACATTCTTTATGGAGATCCATGAATGTTCATGTAACCTTGTTTTGAATGGAAGGGACAGTTTGCTAGAAGGAGAGATGCAGACCCCACACACCAGCCTAATCTCAGGATAAGGATGGGGTAATGTATTCCTTGGAAAGCTTCTGAATCAGCATGAGCCAGCACAGAGCAGGAGACTCTGGGTCTCCCTCTAGGAATATGGACTTCTGGGTCTCACTGGATGGGGACTGAGACTCAGGAACACTGGGCTCAGAGTACAAATGTACATGGACAATGAACAGGCCTCACTGAGGTCAGATTCCAAATGCACATGGAAGGGAGCTGCTGATTAACTGACAGACTGAACTCTCCAGAGAGAAGACTTATTATTCCTCTGGAGAATCCCTCTCTCTTGTTGAATTAGAATACCCATGACACATTTCCCTTTCATGCAAGACAAGTTAGTATCACAACTTCTCCCTGCTGAGGAAGAATCCTCAGGGGACAGGGCCTCCAGTCTCAGTACAGGTGTGGCAGTTTCTTTCCTTACCTCTTCTCAGCAAAATCTCCTTCCCATAGTCCAGATGTGAGTGGAGCCGCTGCACACATTCACCTTCCAGGAAAGGCCTCAAAGTTTTTGTATGACCTATCTTCTCCCACTGCTGGGTCAGGATCTCAGCTGCCTTTCCAACTGCAGTCCAGGTGCTCAGGTCCTCATTTAGTGCAATGTAATCAAGGCCATTGATGATAATTTCATATTGTCCATGAATGTAGTTTGACCCAGGCAGCACATCACAGGACATCCGGAACTCCACTGTGTGATATCCTGCCCAAGCCCCTACTATCAGTCACTCTCACAGGGCCAGGTTCCTTGGGGCCCCTCTGTGGCTCAGTCCCTCCCACTTGACCTTTATAAATGGCCACATTTGAGCTTAAATTGTGCAGAAATCCAGGTCAGTGTCTCCAGGTTCTCTGTAGGGTAAATCTTGGATCTGGGGAACCTTTCGGGAGTATGAAATTTGGGGTTACTGATTTGGGTTCACTCACCAGTTTCACTTTGATTATAGATGAGAAGCACTTCTTTAAGTAGGACTTTGCAGCTTTCAAGTCCAGAAAGCATGTCAACAGTCAATTTCTCCCAATACTCTGGCTGCTGCTGATCCACCCAAGGTGCACAGTGCTCCATCCTGGGAATCTCTCCTCTGGTGTTGAGTCTTGCAATATGAATATCATCCAAGTAGACAGCACAGATGAACTGGGGCTCCCGGAGGTCAGGCGTGGTGAAGATTGTATACAAATAGCTCAGGGAATGTGAACCTAGGTGCAGTGGGCCTTTAAATCTAGACCTCCCACCTAGTACCCTATGCTGCTCCAAAAAGATGTCCCAGGAGAGCAGTGAGAAGGAGACATGGGATAGGGGACAGGATATAAAATAAATAAGGTACTGAGCTAGGGATGAGACAGACTTTCTTATGCTGCAGCCCCAGAGGTGGAATCTGTTTTTTTCCCAGGTTAGGTCCTTTCCCTCCTGACACCCACACTCACCTTCTGGATGCCTGGTCAAGGCCAGGTTGCCCAGGATCAGTAGGAGGAGAGCCTCTAGAATAAGGGTCTTCATTTTGCTTGAATACTGGACACTGAGTCTCTTCTTCTCTGTGTTCAGTTTATAATCATGATATGGAGAAAGCTGATTGGCTTCTCTAAGAATTCCCAATGGTAGTGAGAGAGCATTGTTATTGGGTCATGGAAAGATGAACTCCTGGAAGGGGAATCTCCAGGGCCCTGCTTTCCCAGCTCAGACCCAGCTCTGGGACCTGAAATCCTAGGGGCAGTGATGGGGACAAGTTGGTTACCCTGGTCATTGTCTACCTCATCCTGGTCAAAATATCCAGACCAGAGGCCATTGAATCAGCAGATCTCACCCTGAGATAGCAGGATGTCTGCAGAGTCTTAGAAAGTGATTGACCCTCAAATGTACTTGTTCTTGTATAAATTATATCAATCCGTGTCCACTGCCTTAGGAACTGGGAATTTGACACATTTGCTTAATTGAACATCAATGATAAAGTGCACGTAAGCAGACTGTTTACAGAAAGGAATGACTATTTTGAAAAATACAATGATATGGAGAAACTAATAGATGTTTTCATGCCTGCCCGTACTGACCTTCATCTTTATCACTAGATATATCTTAGATTATTATACTCCTTTTTAACATTTTCATTTCATGCACTGTGTAGGGAAAGCACTTTAACAAAAATGTACAGCTGGGCTGGAGAGATGGCTCAGAGGTTAAGAGCACTGACTGTTCTTCCAGAGGTCCTGAGTCCAATTCCCAGCAACCATATGGTGGCTCACAACCATCTGTAATGAGATCTGGTGCCCTCTTCTGGTGTGCAAGCATGCGTGCACTAATTGTATACATAATAAATAAATAAAATCTTTTTAAAAAAGATTTAAAACAAATGTACAGGAAAAAATGTTTTAATATTTATTTTTGTTTATGTATATGTATATGAATGTTGGGAGTGCAGTAGTCCCTGGAGGCCTGAAAAGGTTGTTAGCATCCATGGAGGTTGTGAGCTCCCAGGTTCATGGGACTCCAACTGTGGTCGTCTACACAGTTTAGCCATCTCTCCAGCCACAGGGAGAGTGTTTCTTTTAACATTTTCAAATCATTTTACTTTTTTTTTTTTTTTTTTGGTTGACCCGGAAGTCACAGACATCCATGAGTTTCTGTCCCCTGAAGAAACAATCCATGGACCATCAGACTGTTTTAACTGGGCGCTTTTATCTTTGATACTTCTCTAGGTTTATTCACATATTGCTTACATTCTGGAACTTAAAATACCATCCAGTCCTTCGAAGTTTGCTGCATCCGTGTCTGCAGGAGAATCAAATTCACTGAGGACATTTTAAGTTATAAAATTTCTTTTTGGGGGGCTGGAGAGATGGCTCAGTGGTTAAGAGCACTGAGCCATCTCAGTTGGCTCACTGAGGTCCTGAGTTCAATTCCTGGCAACCGCGTGGCTCACAACCACCTTGAATGAGATCTGGTGCCCTCTGCTGGCATGCAGGCAGAAGACTGTATACTAAATAAATAAATCTAAAAAAAAATCTTTTTTGAAATTGGAATTTTATTGGGTAAGTTCATCAGTGGGCATAGATTTAAAAGAATCTCCATCCTAAATGATGGGCAGGGAATGAGTGCAGAGCTTTCCTTATTCATTTTCCCACTCTGACATCCAGGATGAGGCTGACTGGCTCCTCTAAGAATTTCCCATGGGAATGACAGAGACCTGAAGTGACATGGAAAGATTAACAACTGGGAGAGGAATCTCCAGAGCCCTGCTTCCCCACCACAGATCCAGCTCTGAGCCTTAGTATCCTGGGAACAGTGTCTGGGGACATATTGCTTACCCTGATACCTATAATTGTCCTGTTGACAACGTCTTTCTGAGTCCTACCCCAGATGCTGATCTAGCTGACAGGATCAAGAAAACAAAGGGAAGCAAAGACACATGTCTCTCACTGAAGTGTCCAGGTCTGGTCCCTGACTGGGGTTCCCATGGCCTCACTGTTATGTCATGGTCCTTTCCTGGCCCCCTGCAATGAGCCTTGTGTTCCTGGTGATCTTATCTCACAGGAGCCTGGGGGAGGCAAGGAAATTAGAATGGGAGTTGGCTGCAGTGTCAGTGGTCTTACAGTTCATGTCCCAAGAGAACACAGAGGAGAAGAGACAGGAGCTGAGAGGATAATGTGCTTCTGACAGAACTGTGAGGATTCCCAGCTCAGACATCAGCACAACACCCCATATGTCACCAGGCAGATGCCTCCAGCGATCCCCAAGCCCATGCATCTAGCACAATTCTCTGGACTCCCTTGGGGACCTTCTAAACACATGATATTCTCCAACTTGGGAGTGCTTTGGCCACCATTTCATATCTCTGAGACTTAAGACAAAGGTGTCCTTCCTAATAGCCTTTTTTGAGTCTTACACAGATATGGCCTCCCCTTTGCCTCATCTGCACCCACAAAGCTATCATTCTTTAGTTTTGATCTTATCTTGGTGCCCCTAGTTTGGGGCCATGGCATGGGGCAAGCCACATGGCTGTATAGCTGTAGCTTGGGCAGGGTGAGAGATGGAAAACAACAGGCAAGCTGGATGGGGAGGACTTCCTGTACCCGAGATGTTCCCTCCCTCCTGTCTCCAGAGGGTGGGAGTCAGATGTGGTTCAGGTTTCATCTCTTGTCTATAGACTTTGTGTTGTATTCCAGTTGTAGAGGGGGTTGAGGTCTGCCAGGCTGGGATGGACAGGATGTCTCTTAGACAGACAGACAGACAGACACAGACACATGCACGCATGCGCACACTCACACACACACACACACACACACACACACACACACAGAGAGCGAGAGAGAGAGAGAGAGAGAGAGAGAGAGAGAGAGATCAACACATGAACAATCAATGAGTCTTCCTCTAGGCTCCACTTTTAGAAGTTTGACTTCTCAGATTTACTCTTCTATGAGTGATGAAGAATCTGCCAGATGAATGACTGTGCTCCAGGCCCTGGGATTCAGAAATCAAAAGCAGGCAAAAATCTCTACCCTGGGATTTTGAAAAGATGGTCTAGTTGTTAAAAGTGCTAACTGTTCTTACAATGGACCTGAGTTTATTTCTAAGCATCCCCAAATCCCCAAAGGCCACTCACAAACTCCTGTTACTCCAGCTCCATGGTATTTGATGTCCTCTCCTAGAATCCAAAGGTACCTCCAATTCATTGGCATGTAATTATGCACACACACACACACACACACACACACACACACACACACACACAGTAAAAACTAAACAATAAACCAAAGCTTTCTGTCAAAAACAAGGTTCAGTAGCTGTGAAGTCATCATCCATGCTCAGTGGTGGTTTGACCAAAACCAACCTGAAGAAGAGTTTATTTCATCTGACAAATCCCAGGTCACATTGCATCACTGTGGAAGCTAAGGAAGAAATTCTTGCCAGGAACAAGGAGGCAGGAACTTAAGCCAAATCCTTGGACGAATGCTGCTAACTGCCTAGTTCACTGAGTTGAACCCTCCCATGTCAATCACTAACCAGGAAAATGCCCTACAGACTCCCCTACTGGCAACCTGGTGGGGGCATTTTATCAAGTGAGGTTCCTCTTCAGAGATAATTCCAGCCTTGGTCACATACTCAAAACTAAAATGAAAGTGGGGATGCAGTTTGCTACAGGCTCAATTATGTGCTCACTTGGTTCCAACTGGTGCTGCTCTTGGGAGAAGTTACAGAACCCCCTGATCTGGAGTGCAGCTGGAGGAAGCCCTCATGTCCTGAAAAATCTTCTCTCGCAGCACACAGCTCGCCTTCACAGTGAGGACAGGCTAAGGACCTATAAAAGAGTCAGCTGACCTGTCTCTGACACATCCACACTTTGTATGTGTCACCTGTCACCTACCACTTGCCTCCTCCTACTTGAACACCATCCCTTGTGACTCTGCAGCAAAAGTATCTTCTCTATGTGGGCTCCTAAGCCAGATGAGGGACAGAGTGTTGCCCAGACTCTGGAAATCTCTCAGAGAGCAAAGCAGAAGTGGAGCTGCTCCCTACCCAGATCAAATCCATAGAGACAAAGACCATTTCATGTTAGTCAGTGAAGCTTTTGTGTCTATGCTGGAGACCTGGCTCCTCATAAATCATGTGACTGGCAGTATTAACTGATGACCTTGGAAATCCCCTGCCTGCACCGCACCACTTTCTCACTGCATTTTCTCCACCGCACTT